GAAATAGGGGAGGGACGGTGGGGGGTGGGGAGCTGGGGGGGATAGCAGGGGGAGAAACGCCAGATGTAGGTGATGGGGAGGAAGGCAGCAAATCACACTGCCATGTGTGTTCCTATGCAACAATTTTGCATGTTCTTCACATGTACCCCAAAACCTAAAATACAATAAAATAAATAAATGGGAAAATAAATAAATTAAAAAAAAAAATTTAACCCAGAATGCAGATCAAGTAAAACATTAAAATAGGCACACAGAAAACCAAAAGTAAATTCCCCAGAAAAGGCATGTCTAACAAACAGAATGTAAATTCCATAGAAAGTAGGGTCCTCAAACCACAAAGACATTTGTCTTTACACCAGGAAAGACTTGCCAGAAAAGACAAAAGGTCTTCTGTCATCCCAGGAGAGATGTAAGGTCCTTTATTTACCAGACACAGAATAAAGTCAAGAGGTTCTACCTTGATTTTAGAGGGCGTTGGCCTGACAAAAGGTGTGCCGTGGAAGCAGAGAGCTCCAGGGGCTCAAGTAAGTACTGCACAGCAGTTCTCAGTATCATCAACTGTCTGAAAGTAATCGTGTTCCATGTCCTACCTCTGGATACTGTTAATGTCAACCTAAATAACAGAGAGAGGCTCTCTAAAAGAAAATAATGTTTATTTGGGAATAGGTTATTGCAACAGGAATCTACAAGTCATAGTAAATTGTTTGCAAATTCAGGAAAGTAAAGGAAGACAATGGGTGTTAAAGAAAAAATGAGGAGGATTACATAATTGTTTTGAAATAATTATCCTTGACTACAAAGATCCCTTACAAGGGTGGTGCCAGCCTGAGGTGAGACAAGTAGTTGCTGGGCAGATGTCTTCAGAGAAGTTTTGTTTCATTTTTTGGTAAAGTTGCAGTGGCCTTTCTGCAGAGTTGTGGTTTTTGCAGAGTCTTCTGTGATAGTTTTGTTATTAGGTATACAAGCATGAGAACCCTCCCTTCATTCCTGGCTGTATTTGTCAGAGTTTTTTTTTTTTAAACACTGTGACGCCATTTTGATTCTGACAGCTTTCACAGTTTAAACATTGTTTCTTAATCTATTCTCCATCTCTTTTTCTCCCCTTATACTTTTTAATCTAATAAAACTTTTTTTAATATACTTTTTCATTTTCTACAAAGTGGATTTTGCTAGTTTGGATTTTGCTGATTCCATTCCCCATGGTGGAGTTGAACATGTTTTTCTATTTTATATAAATTAATAATTAGAGCTGTAGGTGTGATCAGATTCAGATTATTTCCCACCCATCCCCACCCCTATTCTTTTTTTGCTGTTGCTGCTGCAAGAATAGTTCATAATATGTATACTTCTAATAAGAGATACCTACTCCCTAATTTCCTTCCATGTCATCCTAGCTTGTTTCCTTTTCTTTCTTCCCCTTCTTTCTCTCTCGTCTCTTTTCCTCTTCCTCTTTCCCTCCCTCCCTTCCATTTTTTCTTTCTTCCGTTTGTCTGTCATTCCTTCCTCCTTCCCTCCTTCCTCCTCTCCTTCCAACAGCCAATGCTTCAATTACCTTTTCATCCTACATGTGGCTAAGGAAGACAGATGATTTCTTAAACTGATGGTCCTTCTCTCCCAAATTAGCAAGGATTTGGGAGAGCAGGGATCCTCTAAGTTTTAAGACATCCCCCCAAAAATTCCTCACTTGTGTTCTCCATTTTATACCCTGGCACTTGAAGTTTCCTTCCTGTAGTCTGAAGGCTTCTTAAAGTGTACAGCCTCATCTTGTTCTCCATTCTATTCCTAGTGCCTATGATAATGCCAGACACACAGTAGGCATATTGAACTGTATCAACTGTGTCAGTTAGGTGCTGGCATACTGAATGGAATAATTGAAATTTTAATGGACTATTTCAAAGGCATGTGTAGGGTTAGGAGAAACCAACAAGAAATGATAAGGTGCTGAACTAGCAACAGAGCCATCTGATACTCAGAGGTACAAGGACAAGAGAGGGAACAAACCTAGAGGGCTATAGAGGTGAACAGCATTCCTGAAGCTGTAGCCTTAGGTGCAGGAACACTCTAGCCACTGTCAACCTGTGGCTAAGCAGGATAAAGATGAGAAAATACATGCACACTAACCTTATTTTCTCCTACCCTCCTATCTGCCAATACCTCTAATTCACTGAACTTAACTAGAGGCCAGTCTGTAAAAGTCAGCCTTCCAGAATTCAGGAAAAAGTGAGGGGTAAAGAATGGATCTGGAAAAGCAGATATAGAAACTGTAGTACAATGGGCAAAGTCTTCCCTGGAGTGTAACAGTTATTACAGTTTCCCAGGAGGCTAAACTTGTTTTGTTGGGCTTGGACAGTGATTAAGGGAGGCAGGAGATGGGACGAAAGAGTTGGGCCTAAATATATTAAAGCAGTCCATAAATTCCTTCCACTCAAATCTTTCTGCAGCTACTCAGTGCCCTTCAGTGACTTTTATATGACTTCAAGTCTGCCTTTAGTGTTAATTTTAATTTGATTTAACCTGTATTCCAGGAAGAGGTAAGCAATATTCAGTTGATCTGCCCCAGACTCAGCCTTTTAATTAAGAGATTATTCTGACTGACATCAAACAGACTTGAGTTTAAATGTCTATCTTGTTTTGAAAGTCTGAAAAAAGTCTAATTTTTTCTTGGTTTCAACTGACTTGATAATTGATTATCAAACATACAGAATGTATATCTAGGGGGATATTTGATGTCGGTTAATCTAGAGGCTTTAAGTATGGGATTATGTCTCCAACCAATTAAAGATGTAGTTTTGAACCAAAGATGCTTATGAAAAATCACTTGTGGATTATACCCACTAGAATGACTATAATTTAAAAAGAGACAAATAATAACAAGTTTTAATGAGGATGTGGAAAACCTGGAACCCTCATACACTGCTGGTGTGCGTGTAAAATAGTATTACTACTGTGAAAAATAGTCTGACAGTTCCTCAAATGGTTAAATATAGAGTTATTGCATAACTCAGAATCTGCATTTTTAGGAATATAATCAAGAAAAATAAAAGCATCTATTCATACAAAAATTTATATACAAATATTCATAGGAGTATTATTCATAACAGCCAAAAAGCAGAAACAACCTAAGTGTTTGTCAGTTGATGAATGGAAAAATAAAATGTAGTATATTCATACAATGGAATAAAAGGAATTTGAATAAAAAGCAATTAAATGAAGTACTGGTATGTTACAACATGGATGAATCTTGAAAAATGCTAAGTGGGAGAGCCTATCACAAAGGACCACATATTATGATTCATGTATATGAAGTGTTCAGAATAGGCCTATCTGTAGAAAGGGAAAATAAATTAGTGGTTACCAAGGGGTGGGAATTTGTGGGGTGATAGTTAAAGGAAAACTTTCTTTTGTGGGTAATGAAAATGTTCTAAGACTGTGGTGATGGATATACAACTCTGAATATACTAAAAACCACTGAATTGTATATACTTGAATTCGAAGAATTATATGAGAATTGTGTTCAATAGAGCTATTTTATTTTAATCACTTGTGGAGCTTTGTGAAAATACAGCTAGTGAAACCCAGCTTTGACTTCCTGAATTTGTTTTTATAAGTGATTGAATGTGTACTCTAATATAAGAACTATTGAATTACAGCTATTTTTAATCTTTCAAAAAGAGTCTCTGTGATAGTAATGAAGACCCTTGCTTTCTCTGGCATAAAATATGTTGCTTTTTTTATTTCTTTAATTCAGTCTCTGTAGAGACTCAAATATTGCCAGTGCTGACTATATTTCAAGTCGTTGTGGTGGGGTATTGGGAAAAGTTTTCAATTAGCAATAATCATGCCTTGGATAAACCTCATTGGCTACGATATTGCCACTGTGCAAAGCTAATATGTTGTTCTTCTAGAGAACGTGGGATATAGTATATCTCATGCTTAATTACTGTGAATTGCATATAATTTTTTTTTTTTTTAATCACCAGGTTGTTGCCTAGAATATGCTACCATGTTGGATAAAGAAGCCAAACCATACAAAGTTGATCCTTTTGTAATTATCATTAAGTTTCTTTTGGGGTAAGTTTTATTATCTGTGATAATGATTTTAATTGTGTTTTACATATAATATTATATTTGGTTCCATAATGCAATGTAAATTTTCATACAGATTTGGTAGTTGACTTGTTTCATTAAATGGGATTTTTTTCTCTTAGGCAAAGGTCTAATAAGTATATCAATGTTTACTTCAATGGTATAATCATTTCAAAAGTAATTATTCACTATATATATCAGTCCATACCTAGACTGCCTTTAATGTTTGCAAATAGGTCCATGATCTGTGAGTATCCTACATTCAAACATAAATCATTACAGGGTATTGATGAAACAGCACGTCTCTGATCATTTTTAAAAGTATATTTTAGACCTCTCTACCCTAATTAGCATTCCATTCTTAATTTAGTCACATTTTATGTTTTTTGGTTAAGCATCAATGTGTAGATCTCTTTTTTCCCGCATTACAACTAACTTGGCTTTCTAAAAAAAAAAAAAAAGAACATATTACTTTTTATAAGGATCAATAGAGAGTAGTAAAGCCATATTGAAACTCCGATCTTGAAAGATCAGTAGGCTCACTTGGAAAATAAATAACTTGTTCCAGACAAAGAATTAAAAATTTGTTTTTCAGTATAATTATAAATTAAATATCATGGAGCTTTAGAGACTCTCTTGAATGGTCAGACACCTCAAATATTAAGTCCTTAAATTTCAGTTGTTGGGTTTTTTGCTTTTATATTTTCTTTTCTCCACAGGTATAAATGGTTTAAAGAATTATGGGATGTATTGTTGTTACCAGAATTAGATGCCATCGTTTTAACTAGTCAGAGTATGTGTTTTCCCCTGGTATCGTTGATTCTCTTTCTTTTCGGAACGTGTACTGCCTACTGGAGTGGCCTGCTCTCTTCTGCATCTGTGAGACTTCTTTCTTCATTGTGGCTAGCTTTGAAAAGGTAAAGAATGAATGATTAACAGCTTTCTTATTGCTTTAATTAAGCAAAATATATATATTCTGATAAGAAACCTGAAATTAATTATTTCGACTAAACTATTTTCAAAGGAAAAATATATCACTAGCAAAAGTATGGGTTAGTGTTCAAAGTTATGTCTGTGAAAGCTAATCATTTATTCCAAGTTAAATGCTAGCTTTGATTTTAACCTTAGTGTTCAAGAGTTAATAAAAAAAATGTTTGGCAAGTCACGCAGATAGTTTTAAACGTCATGGTCGTGAATCTTTCCCGGGAGGGATTGTTTCTCCTGTGGTGTAGCTTTTATATGCTGACTTCTATAATGAAACCAAGGGGCAAGAGACTGTAATCCAGATGTTAGGCTCAGATTAGATGAGATGTATAAAAGCTCCAAAAACATTGCCTAGAGTTTTATTATGGCCCAATGACACAGTTTGAATCTGAAGTTACTGGTAGGCTTTCCTGGTAGATCATCATCAATTTAGTGCCTATTGCCACTCCTCCTTACCAGACATGTCATGTGATTTCCTGTCCCAGAGGGGATTATGGTGTGGTGCTTCTTCGTCCACCCTTCTGAAATGCTTCAGATAGCAGTTCTGATAGTACCACCACCAAGGGTCTGAGTAGTCTCTAGGCTTTAAGAAATAGAACATAGCTTCTCCTCCTGTCAAGACTGGGGATGTATGCCACAGGGTGTATAATTAATGGTTATCTTTGGTAACATTTTTTGACCTGTAGAACAAGTATCGGCTATAGAGTATCAAAATGGTAGACAAGTTATCACAATATATTACAGAACTGAAAATCAAGTATTTGAGACCACTTGCCTTTATTTAAAAAATACCTTACTGTTTACGTTATGTATTTACATATAAGCAAGAGAGACTGGAAAGGTACTATATTGTTTTCTTCTTATATGTGACTACATAAATATCTGTTAATATGTATTTTAAACTTTATTCTTATAATTCCAGACCCTCTGAACTGCCTAAAGATATCAAGATGATACCACCAGACTTGCCTTTTTTGACAATTGTTTTGATCATAGTTAGTTGGACAACTTGTGGAGCACTTGCCATACTTCTTTCTTATCTTTACTATGTGTTTAAGGTATGTCAAATCAGTAAAGCAAAAATGATTGTTTTGTATTAGGCACATGTAAGATGTACTGTAGGCATCGTTAACAAAAACTCTCATTAACGCTGTAGTAACCTGTTACATAGCAGGTTTGAATGTAAAGATTTTTAAAAACATCTTAGTTATTTAAATTACGTACAGCTAACTGGAAGACAGAAATTATTGATCTGAGTTGGGTTTTTTTGTTGTTGTTAAAAAGGAAAAGGAAAGGGAGAAGATATCATCTGTATCTGCTTGCTTCTTAGTCTTGCAAGTGTTAACTTTTTGTTTTACGTTTTATATTATAAAATGGTTTATAGTTACACTCTTTGAACATGGGTAAGAGACAAAAAAAGAAGTAAATTTGTGTCAGAAGGATCAAGCTATTAATCATGTTGAGATAATCCAAAGTGTTACAATTGTTGCTGAAGGATTAGAAGATGACAATAGAAATAATTAGGCTAATAATTTTACTGAAGAAGTGAAAAACACTTCTGATAAAGCTGTCAGCTTTGCAAAAAAAAAAAATCTAGGAGGTGATACAGGTGCATTCTCTCCATGTAATTCTTAGGAATAGATGGTTAACATCAGAGTAGATAATGCTTTTTTTTTCCCTAAAAAGGAAATTTTTTAAGATGTAAGCTAAATACATGCATATCATAGATTATTTTCAGTTTTCCAAAGGAAATTTATATGCTTCTGAAAAATTATGGCTACTTTGATTTATAAATAATAATTTTAGTATTTTAAAAATTAGGTATTTCAAACCACCGACCCTCTAAGCAAAGGTTCCTTAAATACTTAAGTAACCCTAATACATTTAAAGATTTTTTTTCCAGTTCTTATAAACATTTGACCACTCTATATAATTGAGTTCTGTTTTTCAAGGACTTAAAATATTTAAAATGTATTATATTCTCTTACTGTATTGAAGATAATGAAATCTTTGACTTACAAGACACATTAAGTTGCTATAACAAAGCATCATTCAAACATAGGCTTTTACAGGCTATAAAAGGTATGCAGTATATCCTGGTCCCACTATACTCTGGAAGTTTTGTTGTTTTGTTTATGTTTCCATTTGTTTGTTTGTTTGTTTTTTGCCATGATAGCCAGCATGTGTAGTTGTTGTTTTGTATAAGAATGTTTTTAAATGACTCTCAGTTCACATTTTAAAAATTTCAGATTACAGTGCTTCTCATTTTTAATGCCAAATATTTATACTTTTTGTTTCAAAATAAGGGTGAAATTAAACAGTGATTTCTTTTTCTTAGATTGTTCATCTGCAAGCTAGCTTAACAACTTTTAAAAATAGCCAGCCTGTGGTAAGTTTTATTTTCAAAACTTTATATAACTTTAAAATGAAAGAACATGGGGAGATACGAGTTTATCTTTTTTTAAGGTTAGGATTTCATAGTGTTTAAATGATGCAGTATTATGAATTTAAGTAACATGAACTTAATGAATATTTTAAAAGATTTATAAGTTCATCTTTGTCAGTACCTGTGTCATTTTTTACAAGTTATTATCTATTAAATTTTATTTTGAATAATTACTTAGAGGATATATATTCTCCAGAGTAGAACTAGCAGGTCAAAAGAATAAAAGTTTTATAACTATTTTAAAGTATTTTTAAGCAAAATAATTTCAAGATTTTATGTCAGTTTGGTAATGGAAAGATGTACTTATTTAGCTATGTAGTAATCAGTATGATTCTAAATAAAGTATACTTTCAATTAGTTAGTATTTTGGTACTTTTACTTTATTGTTTTATAGAATCCCAAACACTCCAGAAGAAGCGAAAAAAAATCCAATCACCATAAAGACTCCTCAGTACACCACCTTCGTTTATCTGCCAACGATGCTGAAGATAGCCTTCGCATGCACAGTACTGTGATTAACTTATTAACATGGATTGTATTACTCAGCATGCCTTCTCTAATTTATTGGCTAAAGAATCTTAGGTGTGTTTTATTTATATAATTATTGTTTATGTGGTTCAAACAATAAATATCCCTAAGCAGAGACTTGCTAGATTCCTAATGGTTCATGAAAATTCCTCAGGAACAGGAAGCTATATGTTATCTGAAATTAATTATTTTATTTTATTTTATTTTATTTTATTTTTTTGAGACAGAGTCTCACTCAGTTGCCCAGGCTGGAGTGCAGTGGTGCAATCTCAGTTCACTGCAACTTCTGCCTCCCAGGTTAAAGCAATTTATTTTTAACACATTCACATTTCCTCTCTTACTATGTATATATAAACTTTGGGAATATAAACTTTTCAAAAAATCAGCCCAAAATAGTGAATCGTATTTTTATTCATTGGTCAATGGCTAAATAAAAGACCACTTCATCCAAGTAGTAGATGAACCCCTACTCAATATACTTTTCAAAAATAATATAAAGCTTTCAAGTTATCTAAATACTGGGAATTTAAGTTGCAGAATCAAAATAAGTTCAAATTAAATCAAAGGCTACCAGATTTTAATATCCTTCTTTTGTTCCTTATTTTAGTCAATATCCAGATTTTGTTCACAGATTTGCTGTCAGAATTATTTGAGGAGCACATTTTTTTTTTTTTTTTTTTTTTTGGAGACAAGAGTCTCACTCTGTAGCCCAGGGTGGAATACAGTGGCATCATTTCGGCTCACTGCAACCTCCACTTCCCAGGTCCTGGTTCAAGCAATTCTCCTGCCACAGCCTCCTGAGTAGCTGGGATTACCGGAGCACACCACCATGCCCAGCTAATTTTTGTATTTTTAGTAGAGACGGGGTTTCACCATGTTGGCCAGGCTGGTCTTGAACTCCTGACCTCATGATCTGCCCGCCTCGGCCTTTCAAAGTTCTGGGCTTACAAGCATGAGCCACCGTGCCCTGCTGAGAAGCACAAATTTTTGATTCTGAAAGGCTGTAGACATCTTATAGTCAGTGAATGCGAGAAATGAATTGGATTTTTAAAAAGATAAGGGACAATTAACTTTATGAGCCTTCATTTTATCTTTTTTGTTATAGAGTACCACTCATGTATTTTAAGTAATTCGTTTTTTAAAAAAACTTTACATGTGCCCTTTTAAACATATGCTGCTTATAAAAAGGAAGTACTTTCATACTGGATATTTTTATTTCCTTTAGTAGTTTCTGATCATATTTCTCTTTATAAAACCGTGGATACTAAGATGATATAGAGCAAAAACTACTTATCAAATATTTCATTAACTATTTAGAGTTCTCTTATATCCATATTGCTACTGTAATGTTTTTATTGACTCTGATAATTTAAAATGATCAGGTCATTGTTGATTTGTGTGTTATTTTTTTTTTATTATAGGTATTATTTTAAACTTAATCCTGATCCATGTAAACCTTTGGCATTTATCCTTATTCCAACTATGGCAATTCTTGGAAATACTTACACTGTTTCAATAAAATCAAGGTACAGTAGTTTAATCTTTCTTTTTCTCATATCTGTTCTTTTCCTTTTTCACTCTTTATGTCTAAAGCATACTCTTTATTTCTAATTAATTTGACTATTCCTAAAAGTAAAGCTGTAACAGTATTATGGTTTACATGCAAGTGTATTATATTTGCTTTCTTAATTATAGGTTTTACTTGATAACATATAATACAGTATTTTTCTTTATGAAGTTAACCCTTAAAAGACATGATAAGATTTGCTTCCCAAAAGTACAAGAGAAGTGGATGAGGATATAGCCAAAATAAAATTGGCCATGATTTGATAGGTTTTGAGGCTGGGTAATGATTGCATGAAGGTTTATTATACTGTTAGTCTACTTTTGTAGTTTCCAATTTTCCATAATAAAACTTGAGTTTTCATTCACTTGTTTGCCCTGGGAGTCTTTTCAGTTGATTATGACAGATATTTGCAGATATTCGAGAATCAGGCTGACCTGGAGTTTAAATCCTGGCTGTGCCATTTAATAGCTCTGTCTTTAGCCAGATTTCTTAACCCCTCTTATTCTCAGTTTCTCTATTTTCAAAGTAAAAAGGTAATCGTCTTTCCTGATAGTGTTTTTCTTTTAAAAATAGTATCTTCTATATTCCTTGTTTTGAGAATTTAAGATGGTTCTTTTTTTGTTTGGTTGGTCTTTTTCTCTTATAAGTAGGGTTAAAATAAACATTTCTATAGCTATGTCTTATTGAACATTATTGATTATTTTTGTTAGGATAAGTTTCTAGAGGTATAATTACTAAATAAAAGTCTAACTAGTATTTTTCTATTGTTAAAATTAGACTAAATGAAACTGGCTATTTTTTAAATAGAAATATTTTTCTTTTATAGCCACATATGGCTTGTATTGATCTTTTTAAAAATTATAAATAGGTAAATTTATAACATAAAAAATTCATTTAAAATCACTTGGAATATTTATCTTTTCCAAAACTATATAAAAGATTGCTATATTCCATTTTGGCTCACAGTGTGGTTCACATAAGTGATGTATATTTCTCTGTCTCTTTACAGTAAATTGTTGAAGACTGCTTCACAATTTCCACTTCCTCTGGCTGTTGGTGTGATTGCTTTTGGGTCAACACATTTATATAGGGTTCCATGCTTTGTCTTCATTCCTCTTTTACTCCATGCATTATGCAATTTTATGTAAGATTGGACTTAAGGAATGATGAAGATGATTTATGCATTTAGGGCCAGTGATAAGAGGGAACACACAGATCCATCAGTATGGACAGCAAGATCCTTTGGAGAAGACAAGTCTATTTTTACAATATTGAAAACAGGAAATTAGTTTTGTAATGTTTGAGGGAAGTAGTTGAAGCATGGTTTTGTTTGGTAGTATGGAATCCATGTACTAATCATTTCTGGAAAATGTATGAAGGGATATATGATGATCACTGTCACCGATGACTGCTGTGCATATCAAATAGTCTGTTTCATCAACCGTAAAAGAAGTCTGATCTTAGAGATTTAGTAGATGCAGCATTGTTTATAATCTCACCTCAAGCATTCTGCTCATTTCATCAAACTTTGTTCACAAAAGGAAGCTATTTTGAATTTGCTATAGTTTACCTATTAAGAAAAAAGTCTTTGAATAATTGATGAAATGTAATGAAATGTACAGCTGTTTGGTTTCTCAAAGGTTAAATACCCACAAAAAGCCTTTGGTTAGTTTTTGGCAGCCACCATGAACAAAGTGGATCTTGTCTTCTTACACCTATGAAAATAGAGCTTTGAATGGTAAGGAGACTTGTTTTCTTGGTAACCATTGCAAGATTGATGGATGGAAACATGATTCAAACTTAAACAAATTTTCTTGCTATTTTTCAAATATGAATTTTATTGTCTATTCTTGGAGAATATCAGGAGACTATTAAAGAGGTCTGTTAAAATTAAAGAAAAAGTGCTCATAGCTATTTGCTTCCTGGATTGGAGCAGTTCAATTGTTTAGTCTATACCATTGGATTTAATTCATTGCCCCATGGTTGCCAAAAGTGCCTAAGGTAAAAATGGATTGTTAAAATAACTAAATTCCAATGGTCGGAAACTCTAGATTTATACCATTTTTTCTACTGTGGGAAAAACAACAACAACAACAACATGATCAAGGTAACGCCATATTTGATGTATAACATTATACTAGTAATGCGTTAACAGTGGACAACTTGACAACAGTGGACAACTGTTAACGCATTAATAGCATGAGTATAAACAGTACACCTGAATAAATTGGAGACATTAGCCACTAGGTTTAACAGTGGAATCTTGATTTGCCTATGTGACTTCTGGGATTACTGTTTGACAAATAAAAGAGTAACATTTTATTTCATTTCAGAATTTACTTCACTTTTAGCTACAAGAGTAGGAAAAGGTAATCCAGCAAGGCAGAGGAGTATATTCTTTGCCTTAGGATAGTGTAAACTTGGGCTTATACAGTTCTTTTAGATGTGTAGGCTGTAAATGCCCAAAGCCTCTAACTAAAGATTCCACAAAGCCTCTCATGTAAATTTCCAGTGATTCCACCATTGCACTTATGAACACACATCCTTGTTAGTACCCATGGATGTCCTCAAGTACCAGTTTCATTTTATCTGTTCTTGCATCTGGATTCCATTACAGCCTCTCAGCTGTTACTGCCTGTGGATAGTTACTTCTACTTCACTGCCTGTAGAGAGTTACCTAACTTCTCTTCTCAATTCTTCCTCAGATCCTGGCTATTTTGGCCTCAGTTGAAGAGGGTCTTGCTATCACCTTTGTGGATTGTAAGTTAGTTTGATCCCATTGTTGTCTTTTCCAGCTTTGTGCCTCTTGTTCAATATTCATATTTTCACTTACTGAGAACATTAAAGGGAAATGATAAACTCATGGTGGGGATATGGCAGGCATACTAGGTACTTGTTTGTTTGAGAAAAGTAGTAGAAGGGATAAAACACAAAGTGCTATGTGTTTCAGCTGGAGAGGAGAGCATTTATTAGATTATATACTTGTCCTATGGCACACCACGTATATATTTAAATAGAGATACATCTGACTACGTTTAACTATACTTATAAACAACTTTGATACACATTGCATCTTTTGTTCTGTCATTTGATATTTTAGTGTATCTCCAGTTACAGATTAACTATGTCCTTTATTTCTGAATTTGGACTTAGTTCCATATACAGAAAGAACGTTAGAAAATTCATTAATTTGAATCTTCTATTGATAGCCATAAACATTATGTTTATCTGATCTAAAATCTCTTTGTTTAGTTAGTACTGTTCATGAATGTAACAAGTTTAAGTTTCTCATTTGTGAGTAGTACATTTACCTTTATTTTGAGACAGAGTCTCACTCTTGCCAGGCTGGAGTGCAGTGGTGTGATTTCAGCCCACTGCAACCTCCACCTCCCGGATTCCAGCGATTTCCCTGCCTCAGCCTCCCAAGTAGCTGGGACTACAGATGCCTGCCACCACAACCAGCTAATTTTTTTTTTTTTTAGTAGAGGTGGGGTTTCTCCATGTTGGTCAAGCTGGTCTCGAACTCCTGACCTCGTGATCCGCCTCCTCTGCCTCCCAAAATGCTGGGATTACAGGTGTGAGCGTCCATTCCTGGCCGTACATTTACTTTTTAAAGCAACAGACTAGGTACACTAATTCTCGCTGAAATATTTTCATGTGGATGTAGTATTACCAAGTCCTAAAGTCTTATTTATGCCAAAAAAATTCATTTTAAGTACTACAAAAAGGATTCTAATTAAACATTTTATAAACAATAGTAGTTTGGGTCTTTAGCCATTATATATGTATATATATAGACACAAATGTATACACTTACATTTTGACAGGGTCATTGAGTCCTGATGCACTTTAAAGTAAATAGCTACCAGAGATGTGAGGGTAGACTCTTTGAAGATTCGCAAAATGGATGTTTTTACTTAAGAAAAAGAAAGTCCTTTGCCTTTAAATTACAGTTTCCATCATGCTTACAATCTATATATTTGGCTAGTAAAACAGCATTACCCTATTAGCAATGTTAGTAAAAATGAACTTATTTATTGGCATTCATAGATTATCCAATTCAAGAAATTTCTGGGGTCAACTGTTACCGCAGCTGTCAACAGCATTCTAATTTAGCAATTGTTGAGTTGCAAGTAAATTTTGTGCTTATAAAATAACTCCTAGACCCTATTGTTGATAACTAGATCAAATATAGACAGTACAGGGGAAAACACTGGATGCATTCAGTGTTTCTAAAGTCTCCTTTGGAGTTACTACTGATTGTAATTTGGAACTGATAATAGGTAGAGATTGTTTACACTATTTTTTTCATGGATTTTTTTGTCAGAAATTAAACAGGTTCTGCTAACTTTCTTTTTCTTAGTTATCACCAGAATGAAAATATTTGAAATGGTGACTCTAGAAAAGCCATTAGTCCCTGGTTAACATTGATTTTGAGTCTTTTCAATATATATTGATCATGTATTGATTAATCTTTATTTTTTTCATACTTTGGCTAAACAAGTTCAGATCTACATAATGGAATACCCCTTCTTGAGTGAGCTATACTAATATCTACATGATTATATAGTAAGGAAAAAAGAAATAACTGTAATAGGCATAGTAAATGTTGGTTTTCTTGTCACTCATGTGATACACATTTCCACAGTACACACAAACTTATATGAAGTGGATTATTTGTTTTGTTCATTATTTAGTTCCTATATGATTTTTCTTTAGAAACAGAGTCTCATTCTGTCACCCAGACTGGAGTGCAATGGGGCGGTCATAGCTCACTGCAGCCTTGAACTCCTTGGCTCATGTGATCCCCCCATCTCAGCCTCCCAGAGCAAGTTAGAACTACAGGTACATGCTACTGTGCCTGACTAATTTTTTTGTAGAGATGAGGTTTCAGTTTGTTGCCCAGGCTGATTTTGAACTCCTGGTTTCAAGTGATCCTTCCACCTCGGCCTCCCAAAGTACTGAGATTTCAGGCATGAGCATCTGGCCTAGTTCCTATACTTTTCTTAATTCTTCAGACTCCTCACATCTAGCATAGTGCATTCATTTCACCTTGCTGTTTATTAGCATCCTTTGTGGAAGGTGGCCAAGAGAAATAAAAGGTGGTAAAATTCAGTTTTCAGTTTAGTTCTTGAAAGTTCTGGGAAATGGAAGAAACACAAAACTATGAAATAAACTAGGGCTGTTGATTTCTGAACCCCCCAGATAAATCAGTTGGCCCACATTTTCATTTTGGGTATTAGGTCCAAATTAGTATATAGTCTTGCATTATTATTAGGTTTAGTGTGAAACTTTACAGTGCTACATTTGAAGTTTTAGTAACTGGTTATTAAAATCAATTGGGAAAAATAAAAATGTGTTGAGACTTTCTGTGACTAGGCATTTGTTGATTATTTTTCATGATCGCTTTTTGTTTTCTCATTGTGTAGGATTTGTGAACTTGTATATCATAGGAAACAAGATAGTTTGTAAAATTTATTGGGGAAAATCCATTTGGAATGCATGACACTTGCCAGGTTAAGAAAGCAGTAATACTACATTTGTATTATAAAATTAGACCCTGCCAGAAAGCTTCCTTTTCTAGTTAGGTCAATGTAGAAGGGACTTTTAAAACATAGTAAGTTGATTAGGAGCCAAAATTTTATCCCAGTTTTTTTGAACTAAGAATGTTTTAAATGATGTAATGAACTTTTATGTGTACACATTACTCATGCATTTTTTTACAATGTGTTTAATAGCCTGAGGAAGTAGGAAAGCTGTGAAACTACTCCCATTCTTTACTTTTAATAAGAATAATAGGAAAGAAAAGTGAGGTCAACAATCCAAATCCAAATGTGTGTACTGTAACTGCTTAAGAATTCACTTTTTTTTGGATAAATTGTATAGAGTACAGAAGAACATATGAATTTATTATGTTAATAACTTAGTTTTGACAACAGAATAAAATTTGGAAATTGTGAAAATAAGCTGTTTTTCCATTAATAGTGAAAATTCATAACATGTCTTTCAAAAGTTAAGTGATATTCTAAGCCGTCTTAATTGTCCATGGTTGATAATTTTTAAATCAAGTGCAGTACTTTCTGAAAGTGTTTGGCGTGTTTTGCTGCCAAAGCCATCTGTGTTTTGAAATACCAAGTAACCAGTTAATTTCTGAAGACTTTGTATAGGACTTGATATATGAGTCAGTATCTGTATTTGTTCTGTACATTGTAACTTTGAACACTTATGAAAAACGGTATCTGTTGGTGTATTTTGATTAGTGTAGATTTGTTTGCATATTTGGATTCTGATTTTAGTTTAGGAAGTCTAAAAGTAGCCATTTTTGTAAAGTTCATATGCTATTTTGTAATGTCATTTTGGTTTTTAATATTTATATAATAGTGTTACTGTAAAAGATGTTTATAGACAACACATAGAGCTATTAACTGTTCAAAAGCCTACATCATAGGCATATTTTGTATTTCATGTTACACTTGTTCTGTTTCATATTGAACTTCTTACATCCCTTTTTTAGGAAAAAAAAAGAGACACATTTGAATTCTCTTTAGCATAAAGCTGTGCATTGGAAACCATATGACTATCCATATGTTTAGCAAAATACTCTTTGCCACCAAAGCTAAACGAAACTGTAAAATACCTCTGGATATTTGTGCCAATGAACTTTTCTTAGTATATTGGGATTAAAGCAAAAATAATCTTTTCAGTATGTTTCATCTAGGACTTACAATAAATGTTTGAACCATGAAAACTTATATTTCATACCCTAATTTTTCTTTGAAAATATTCAAGATTTGTAGCATAGTGTGTTCTATTTTGTGTGATTACTTAAATGTTTTCTGATTTTATTGGGTAAAAGTTAGCCTGATCTTTCAGCAATTAGTTGAAATAATCATTTGAAGTAATCTTTAGGTTTATTTTGTGATGTACATTAATTGTTGTATAAGACACTTTAGTACAGGTGTCTCATTTATGTAGTTGAAAGTTGGTTGTGGAATTTCTTTTGTTTTTTATATATTTCCATTCAGTCTTTTATATAGTCACATGTTTCACAGGGGAAAATTGTCCACTGGAACCTAACATAGTACAATCTTTTAACTTGCATATCTTAAATGAAAATATTATAAAACAAGATATTAATCCTAAAGTGTTAACATAAATATGTTGTACTCATGGAAAAGAGTAGAAAATACGATAGGCTCAGAAACTACTATTTTTAAAATCTGCATTAAATGCTCTGATTTCTCCGCATAGAAATTCTAAGGAAATTTCAGTTCCTCCTATTATAGTTTTCCCCCAAATTTAATATTACTTACTATTTCTTTGCCCAGTAATGTTGATGCAGTTTGCATAAATAGCCTTGGAAGTAAGGAGGCAGGAGAGAAAGCCAAATATTGAAATCTTTGGTCTTTAGTGACAGTTTATTTTTCTAATGGGGACCACAGGTGTTATTTGTAAAAGGTTGATGTACAAGGCCTAAATTCAGTGTACATTGTTCTTTGAAATAAGTTCTTCTTTTGTGTTAAATAATTTTATTCTAAGTAGGAGATGCCTGTATTTAATGTAATCATGCTTTCTACATTATCAAATATGCGTTTGTTGGAATACTGGTAGAAGTAACCTTCCCCTTCTCTAGTGTGAAGTGGAAAAAACTCCCTGTTTTTACTGTATGTAAATTAGGAAATTATGTTGCATAGTTACATTTAAAAAAATATTAAAGTGACTTAATATATTACCTTGAAGTGATTGTATTACAGTTTCTTAAACTTATGACTGGCTATAAATGTAGCAACATACCCATGAGAAACCAGACCAAAATTGAATATATAATCATCACTGTGACCTTGAACTTATAGTCATTTGGAATAAAACAGAGTGTGCCTTAAAATGATAAAAGAATGCCCTGAAATTTTATAACTGTACATTTTATTATGGGTGGTCTTCTCAAATTGGCCCCAAATCCTCATCTTCGAGGTTGGTGAAATACAAGTTTAAAATAAAAATTAACTGGTATTTCCTTAAATATTTGCAGAAATACTGCTCTAGAGGCCTCCCATAATTTTCAGAGTTCTCATTTTGAATTAAAATAGATTTACACTACATAGACTTAGAAAATTAAGTTTGGCTAAGTTTTCTGAAAAAATATTCTAGGAGGAGGTGGTGGCATTGTTGTTCTGAACTTATTACACATGGGAAAATTAATCTTGAAATGTAATTTTTTTGTCTTACTGATGAATAATTATCAAAGACATGAATTCTTCTCCAACTTGTGCTCATTCCTTCTCAAATTATTGAGGCTTGTACTTCTATATATCAAATAGGGGTAATTTACACAATAATTTTTCGGTAATTAATAAACTCATATTTATGTAGTATATTTTAAAACATTATTTCCCCTCATATTTCCTTCTCTTTTTTCTTCCTATTTATTTTTAAGTTTTCAAGAGAAAATGGGTTTCAGCTTTTAAATAAATGTAGACTTGCATTTTTACTGTGCTTATTTAAAATAATGGATATAATTTATATTAAATTCCAAATTATTTCATTAAAGGATAATCATAGTCTCTGATAAAAGATGCTCACATTTCTGTGTACTCACAGTTGTTGTATATTTTTCAGTTTCAATTTTGAACATAAACTCAACACATTACTTTCCCATTTTACTTCCACTACCTCCCTGCCAGACAAAAATATAGATTTCTCTAAAAATACATACAAAGAAAACGTTTTTCCTTAAAACATGATCATATTGGCATGAAAATAGTTTGAGCAAGGGTATGAAATAAAATAAGATAAATGGCTCTCGACCTGCACCAATTTTTATACTGTAGTTAAAAATATGGGTTATGCTGAGATAGACTCAGTAAGTAATCATTTATTTGCAAATTGATAATTTTTTTCTCATCCATCCAGAAAGTACAGTGCAGCAACAATACTTAAGTGCAAAAGAACCTGTCCTGTAGTATATACTAAAAAGTGATTGCCACCTTGCCAATCATTCCATTTAAACATGCATGATCTCCAGTACTTTGTGCAATGTATAGTGTATTAAATACATTTATGTGTAATTTTTGTGTGTATTTTTATATGGTATAATATTATATTTATGTGGTTGTGATTCACAAAAAGTGCTACTTACTGTATTCTGTAGAGTGTGTTGTGAATGTTTTTACCTGTGTTTCAGCATTATGGTGTAGAATTAATAGTTGAATATTTGCCTTCAGTCTCCGCTCAGGTATCAATGTGTAGCGATTTTTGGTGCTTTCTTTTTAATCTGTCATAATCTGGTGTTCTGAATGTTCAAAAATAAATTTGGTTGAATAAGCACATGTGGTACAAAGATTGCTTACCAACTGACGTACTTTCCACAATACCATCTTGGTAAAAACTCTTTAAAAAGGATTTATTTACATGCCTAGCATTTTAGAAATTAAAATGCCTATGCCTTGGACATGACACATCACAGGTAAACATTGGAAGCAAGACAAGTAAATTACTGTATTTTCCCACTTTGTATTTTGTAGTTTTCCGCATGCATTTGTATGGACATTTCATGGGTTCACATTCTGTTTTAAGGAACTGTAGATATTTTTCTCCCAGAGACCATGCTTTTTACTTTTCTTATGCTAATTTGATATATTCCTGATGTGAGAAAATATTTTAAATGGTTCATTTTCAAGGCATGATAAATCTGAGTACTGGCAGCCAGCCTGCAAATGTAACAAACTGCATGGCTTATGTACCTAGAAGGTCACAATAAGTGAAGAGAATGTAGAGTAGGGGTCAGCCCATAAAAGGAAATAAAGTTTTGTTACTAGGAAATCGAAACTTAAGTAGGGAAGGGGTTGGGGTATAACCTTATAAGGAGGCTAATGAAACTTAGGTGACATCCAGGAAGATTATAACCCCATAGTACTCCACCAGTGAGGAACTGGGGGGAAGGACTTGTGTGCTAGGAAATAAATTACCTGTTGTGACTGCCATGGGTGTGGCTGCCCACCAGGCACCCAATCTTGCAAGACTGTTATTAAAAGTCTCACTTTGGCTGTTCTTTGTGCCTCTAAGTCCATTCTTTGGGTTAGGACTGGTGAGCCTGTCCCTCACAACCTGGTGGCTTGTCCAGGATCTCTGTGCCTGCATGGAGTGGGACTCCAGCCAAGAGGGGATACGCGTCTCACCCGATTCAGGTGACCCACTGTGTCCAGGCATCCTGGCTACCTGCAGAAGCCATAGACAAATCCGAGATTGTTATCCAGGAGGCAGGAGAGGTGACCCAGGGAGAAAAGACGGTACCACAGCAACCAGGCCACCTCATGCACTAGTCAAGGAAGGAAAATTACACTGTGAGTACTGCCTTGGTGGTTGGGCATTTTTGGAGGTCCTGGAGTGTGCAAGAAACCACCAGTAAGGAGGGTTGAGTATACAGGGGTGTACAAGAAACCTCCAGTAAGTGAGGTTAAGTACTCAGGGGAAAACTCAGACACAGAGACTGGCTGAAAATGGGAGACAGGAATTCTAGTCTAGGGAACAAAGGATAGAGGGAGTCAAAGAGACTCCCTCTGACATTTCTCCAGATAGTCCTTTGGGGAGAATGTTGCAGGTTTGGAGGGACAACCCTCAAATCAGAGACAAGGAAAAGGAAAAGATTATAATAAAGTATTGCTGTTTTATCTAGCTCAAAGATCCCATTTGTAAGTCTTCGGTCTTTTGGCCTAAGTTTGGCTCAGATGAGGATTGGGTGTGCCAAGCTTTAATTCTCTATGTGAATGATAAAACCCATCCCCACAAGAAGAAATAGGTTGCGCCTTCTGCTAGATTGAGAAATTTGCCCCCATGTTGCCCCTCGAAGAAGAAAGAGAGCCTAGTAAAAAGCCCTTGCCGAGGGAAAAGCCCTGGGACCAGCTATCATGCTTTCCCCTTCATATGCCTCACAAAATAGGGGACAGGAAGATCAAGGGGCAGCAGGAAGGTGAGAGGAAGAAAGACCTGGAAACCTTGGGGGAGCCGAACCAAGTGCTCTTTTAAATCCTCCTACGAATTTAAGAAAATAATTAAAACAGTATAAGAGGGAAATTGAGAACTTACCTATCCCTTCCACAGAAGGCATCTAGCATGTTCCCTCTTAGGGAAGTTCCCATGGGACTGGGAAAAATTGGCTTTGTAAATGCTCCTCTTACGAGTACTGAAGTTAGGAATTTGAAGAAGCAAATGAAACCACTCCTACAAGATCTCCTCCTTTTAGCAGACCAGTTTCTGGAACCCAGCTTTTACATCTGGGCTGAAATGTCTGTCATGAATATCCTGTTCAAAGGAGAAGTGGGGAATAATTAGGAGCACTGTTCTCTGTGCCTCTAAGTTTATTCTTTGGGTTTGGACAAGTGAACATGTTTCTCACACTGAGTGCCCAGTTTCTCACTTAGTAGGAATGAGAATGATTTAGACATTGTAAACAGATTTTCAGGTCACTGTAGAAATTTGATCTTTAGGGGAGGGACTTGGAATTCTTTTAATAAGTGCCCCAAAAGTAATTCTCAATCAAGTTTGGTGAACATTGCCTTAGTCAATAAAATTAACTTACTAGGGCTCCTAGAAACAACTAGAAATGCTGCTTTGAGGATTACAAGGTGCCAAAAGAAACACTGAATAATTTGAGAGTTTTAGTACAGATTCCCATTTTATTATAGAACATATGGGAGGAGTAAAATGGGGTATCATATATTTTGAGGGACAAGTACCTTCTAAACTTTTAGCCAGCATCACTAAATATATGAACATTTATGAATCATCTACCTGTACTAATGTTGTGTATGGTTTTTGTTGTTGTTATTTTGAGATGGAGTCTCTTTTGCCCAGGCTGGAATAAAGTGGCAGGATCTCCACTCACTGCAACCTTTGCCCCTCAGGTTCAAGTGATTCTCCTGCCTCAGCCTCCCAAGTAGCTGGGATTATAGGAGCCCGCCACTATGCCTGGCTATTATTTTGTATTTTTAGTAGAGATGGGGTTTCACCATGTTGGCCAGGCTGGTCTTGAACTCTTGATCCCAAGTGATCTACCACCTTGGCCTCCCAAAACGTTGTGTATGTTATTAAATATACCCAAAAAAAGTACATTTTTAAGGATGAGAAATACTTAATTAGAAACTTTAATATTTTATTTGGATACCTAGGGGATTACCTTGAATGAGACCACATCAATTTGGAATCCACTGATTATACAGCATGAAAACCTCATGGGTCTTCCTCACTAGTTTTTCTCTTTTTTCATTTCCTTCTGGAAAAGAGGATGAAGATGAAGAAGAAAGTGTAAAAAGATTGTGTGAAAAGAAATGTGTGTGTGTGTATGTGTATATGTATACATGTGTATATATGTGTATGTATATATGTACACATACCTATGTGTGTGTATATATGTATGTGTACATATATACATACACAATTATATACGCACATACAACATATATATGTTAATAAATGTGTTAATTGCTGCATAACAAAAGACTACAATTTTAACTGCTTTAAAACAACACCCATTTATTTGCTCACAATTCCGTGGGTCAGAATTCCAGGCATAGCCCTAGCGGGTTCTCTGCTCAGAGTCTCACACCTCTGAAATCAATGAATTTGACCAGGCTGCTGTCCCATCTGAAGCTCATTCAGTTTGTTGTCAGAATTCACTTTCTTGTGGTCCTAGGGCTGAGGTCCATGTTTTCTGGCTGTTAACCAGGGACTCGAGCTCCAGTGCCATGTCCTGCTATATAGCCTTTTGACAACATGGTTTTACTCCTTCAAAACCAGCAAGAGAATTTCCCATTTTGAATCCCTTTAACTTCCTCTGTCACTGACCTTTAGACCTAGATTTAGAGAGCTCAAGTGAATACCTTAGGTCCACTGATATAATTTCCCTTTGAATCACAGTCAACCTTAATTATATCTGTAAAATCATTTTTTGTCATGTAAAGTTAATAATCATATTCACAGAATTTCATCCACAGTCAAGAGCGGGGGAGAAAGGTATGTACACCAGGGTGAAAACCTTGGGGGCCATTTTAGAAGTCTGCATACTACACATAACATGGAACTAAGTCTTTTTCCATAATTGCTCTACTTAATATTCCATAGTTTTAACTCAAGGAGCTGATGAATTAAACATAAAATGTTTCAGTGAAAGAAAAGTCCCTGACTGAATTTTAAACAGCTCTTAAAAAGAGAAGTCTCCCGTCCTTAGATTGCTAAGTTGCTTTGTGTGTGTGTGTGTGTGTGTGTGTGTGTGTGTGAGAGAGAGAGAGAGAGAGTGAGAGAGAAACAGAAACAGAGAGACGGAGACGGAGACGTAGATTCTGATTCATTTAAAAATGGATTTGCTTTGCTTGTTTTGGGCAGTCAGAATTTGGATATAGACTGAAATTAAGCAAGAATAGACCAGCTTGCCTTATCAAGTGAGCTGAAGCATTTTGCTGTGCTTAATAGATGTAATTTCATATTGGGTATCAGTCAAAAGTAATGACTAACTCAAAGAAAATTATATAAGGTCTAATTGAGCTTTAAAAAAATGCTTCTAGTAATTTCTTTTTTTTTTTTTTTTGAGACGGAGTTTCACTCTTGTTACCCAGGCTGGAGTGCAATGGCGCGATCTCGGCTCATCGCAACCTCTGCCTCCTGGGTTCAGGCAATTCTCCTGCCTCAGCCTCCTGAGTCGCTGGGATTACAGGCACACGCCACCATGCCCAGCTAATTTTTTGTATTTTTAGTAGAGACGGGGTTTCACCATGTTGACCAGGATGGTCTCAATCTCTTGACCTCGTGATCCACCCGCCTCGGCCTCCCAAAGTGCTGGGATTACAGGCTTGAGCCACCGCGCCCGGCCAGTAATTTCTTTTGAGTATGTTTGGAGGAAGAATTAAGTTAGATGGGCTTTCTAATTGTGCCTAAATCACAGTATATTGTGTAAATGAAAGCTTCAGGTTTTCAGAGCTACATGCTCATTTGAATATTCATATTTGTAAACCATCCTTCGGTATGGAATAGTTCTGTAAGGTATGTTCATATTAACACATATGCAACAACAACAAAAAAGACAATCACCATGCTTTTTACATTTAATATTTTACATGTCTCTGATTAAGAAAGAAGTTTAGAAGGTTTGGAGAAAAAAAAACAGCTAGAATGATCTCGGGATTAGAGTATATTTGACTGAAGTATTAAAGACTTCTGTACTCCGTAACTACATAAGTTATGTGAGAAGGTGCTTGAAGAAGAAACTTTATGATTCAGTCTCTCTTCATTCCCTGGCTTGCAGGAAATATAGCATTGTACATGGTGGGCA